CATTCATTAAACTGTTTAAATTTTCAACAACCATTTTATTCCTTTTCCGTTACACATTCAGATGTCAACAAATGAAGCAATATTTCATTCTTTTCGAGATGACAATTTTGATGAAAAGTATCGAAGAATTAATGAAACTTATTTTTCGGAAGGAATCACATCGGAAGTAAAGACTCTTCATAGGCCTTACATTCAGGTATGTCAACTTCCTTGCATTCCTTGCATCCTTGCTATTTTCTCCATCTCTCACATAGAATAACCGAATTTTAATAGCTTTGCAAGAATCTGCTAATTTATACCAATCAAGTAAAGTTGTAAGCAATTTCTTGATCATGCTACAATGCTAATGAACCTGATTTTTCCGAGAATAATTTCTTGATATGCTTTTAATTAAATCAACCAGTGTTTTTTAATAAAACAATAAATGCTTAAAATTGCCAAAAAAAGTGATATTATGCTCTTTCAAACAAAGCTTAATTATTTCTAATTAATTTTCATCAGAACCGATTTGCGCATCTCACTGTGTCAACCGTATAGGTGACAGAAGTTTAATGGTTTGAAATAAACTTTATCACAACTTTATTAATTACGTGTGTAGTTGACAAAGTTTGAAAATATAGTGTAGGCCAATCTAAAATTATGCATTATGCTCACGAGCATCATTTATTGTCATCTATGATCTTTTCAAATTTACGATTAAAACTAAAAATTAGGCCCATGAAGGTTGAAATGGAAATATAACTTCTTAACGCTTAAATTCATTACCTGTCTTTTAGGTATCTTTCCCTTGATTTCTCTTTCAACTAAACAAATTCTCACAACCATTTAAACCAGATCTTCCAGAAATACATTGTACCATCTTTCTACTGCAAGAAAATATGTATTGGAAGTGATACATTGGTTATAGCATTTTTCTTTGCAGTTTTGTGTCACTGTCATTACCATTGTCATTGCCAGTACTTACAGATTTTCTGCTCTGTTTAATGAAGTCAAATATTCCGGATCTTCCTCCATTGCTCCGCTTCCCAGCATATGGCTACTAGATGTATCAGTTCGTAAAAATCGCATCAAATTTATAAATAAGAATTTTCAGAACTTTCCCCTGTTACTTCAACATTTTAAACTCAAAACTTACACATTATTTGTGCCAATACTATTTGAGGGTCCTTCAACTACTCAATTGCTTGTCACAACCGGTGTCAATAAAATATCGCCACAACTGACACCACCATTTCCAACACTCTCTTCAGTGACATCATCACTACCATTAGCATTAATGGCATCTACCGCAGTTACTTTAGACGGTATGTTTCTCCACAACATCTAAATTTAGATTTCGATAAAAATTTGCTTAATTTATGGTAAAAAAAAAGGAAAATATCATTAACAACTGACAAAGATTGCTTTTTGGTGAATATTTTCCTCATAAAATAAATGCAGCGGTTCCCGATGTGTAAAAAAAGTAGGACAGCTCATGATATACTTGGTTAATACTTACACTTTCTAAACTGGCAATGTCTATTATATCATAGTAATAACTGGAATACTTTTGATGGTACCACTTCGTAGTGATATAGAAAATCATATGAGGAATTTTGAATTTAGCTTCCCATTGTTTCATACAAATTTAATACCATTAACTTTATCAATATAAAAAGCATCCATGAACATCTTTCCCTGTTCATTCTTTGTGGCAAATATTTCCTTAGCAACTAATTAACTAATTAGAGTATCAAATTATAAATTCTCATACATACATATCAAAGATGTATGCATTATCAAATAATTTAACGTAATTTTCAAAAAATTCTGGTGAATTTAGGCGCAAAAAAATTTGGTAATAGATAATATCGATTGGGAAATAGCTATGTATTTCTAATATCTTTAAAAAATATTTGCAAATTTCGGAAGAAAAGTATTGCAAAAGATGATTCATGATAATGAACATTATTTATTCGAAAGTTTTTAATCGATGATTGAAAATACTAACAGAATTAGAAGCACAGATGCGGTGGAATAGAAAGAAATGAAATATAATGAAGAAGTGAAGAATAAAAAAAAAAAACATAAAACAAAAATTTTGTTTGCAGATTCCGAAATGACAACATCCAGTATTTCTCGGGATGCAAAAATTCCAACCCCTGATGATATTACTAGTAGTATAAAGAATAACAGAACCTTGTTAAATGACAATAACAAAAACGACAAACTGGAATTGCCAGACGCATATTTCACATTTCAAAACAATTATCCCAAATTAGCGACTACACCATTAACACTAAAATACTGGGAAATGCAAAGAACCGATTCCGGTCAATCAGTTATCAGAGTTACGACAGATTCCACAACGCTTCAGATTGCTCGAAGGAATGAATTATATCACTTCACTAGTGCTGAGAACAGAAGTACAACTACCGATGACAATAGTGCCAGTGGTAGTTTAAACTCTGATAGCAATCGGATCGAATTTACTAATTTGAAGTAATTTAAACAGTCTCCATGTTTTGGTCCTTTTTTTCAGTTCGTCTTGATTTATGTTGTTAGTCCATTTGATGCTATAAATATAGTTCAATTACTGATATTTCAGGGAAAAATCATTACTTTCTCCACCAACTAATCCGCCAGCAATTTCTGTCAACAGCATTTTAGCAAAGAACGAGCTTATTTCAGACGACAATTTAGAAACCACAACCACTTCCGCTGAAACTATTTTTATTACTAGTCTAAATTTATTTTCCACAGCTTTAACCTCAGAGGAAAGCCAAAAAACTCGATCTAGTCCAGCAAAAATTAATTTGGCAGAGGACAATATTGATTTTGATTCCGTGGAAACGACATCAACCAGATCTTTCAAATTGATGCAGACCACTGGTGTCGAAGACTTGACATTCAACATGGAGGAAACTAATTTTTTATTCGAAAACCTTCCATCACCTCTAGAGATTGAACGTTCATCAGTTTCTACATTTCACCTACAAACATTACCGGTGCCATCATCATCATCATCATCATTATCATCATCATCATTATCATCAGCGACTACAAAAACAACAGTCGTCATCGATGATGATGGTCTAATGGAATTTCTACCACTTACTGATAAACTCCTATCGAATGATAACGGAGAAGAAAATCAGCTGAAATCAGGGAACAATGAGGAATCAGAAATAACAAACAGTGAAAATTTCTATCAGAAAACCCCGGTAGTATCTCAAAATGTTGAGTTTGACGAATTAAACGAGAAAGAAACTGAAATTAATCTGATCCACAATCAAAATGAACAATGGCAACCTGAAAAAGAACGAACACTTACTGATAGCATTTCAACAGCGTCTTTACCAAGCAGTGATCCAAGTCAGTTATCGAAATTCTGTTTGATGAAAAAGAAAGGAGTTGAAAATAAAATTAGGAAAAGTTTCCTTCAAATGAAAGGTTGAAAATGATTGAATATCGGTTTAGAAATTTAGATTCAATGTGACATTCGTATTTTCATTTTTTAAAAACAACATGATGTCTCCAAATTGCCCTTTAAACTAAAGAATCAGCTGAAAAGAGCCTCAAGCGTTGTTTAATTAAATGGTGACACCTTCTGGATAGATTCATCTTAGTGTGACCATATAAACTATCCACTCGAAGCCTATAAGAAGAAAAAGACCATACATAGAATATACGGAATTATAGCATCTATCTTTGACCATTAAGCAACTTTGAAAAGACAGGGATCATTCATTCTTTCAAAAGTTTCATTATTTTCTAACGAATTTCACTTATTCCAATTTGAAAAATTCATTTCAAGATCACATTATCGTATTGGTTTCTTGTTGCTATTCTCAGGTTCTGGTCCCGTCGAGTTATCATCCATTTTGGGTAATCAAATTGATAGCGCATTTAGCAATCTGTTTCATCTGGAAAAGGAACAAATGGGTATATCAATACCGAAATATGAAAATTCGGCAACAGGAGTAATCCTTGCACAAATACCAAAGCAGAACGGTGTCAACACTGTCATGGTATTTAAAAGTTTTGCATTTTTTTTAATTTTAGGAAATTCTTTTTGAGAAAAAAATTTCAAAAATCAGTGGAGCAAACTGGGGAAAGTTGTTGATAGGTAATAACAAAGTGAATTTAAAACATCAACTTTAAAATGTAGAAAAAAACTTGTCCTATTTATCGGTTATTGAAATCATTGATTATTCAAGATTTTAACATATGAAATAAAATTTCTTGCAACTAAATCACAGATTAAAATTTAGATTAATACAGCTGGTGACACCACTAACACCGATATATCGATCAAACGTGGAATTATGAAGGGAGAAATATTAGAGAAGCAAAAATCATTTATTGCCGGTAAACCTGTTACTTTGGAATTATGGAATCCCATAATTTACGGTAAGGATTTGTTTATAAATGGATTCCAAAATGATTAAAGTTATCAAAATGCAATGTCACTTCATCCATCAGGTAATATGCCACACATCAAATAATATATTGAGTAATATTTAACATTTGTTGTTTTTTTTAATTATCTAAGAAAGGCTAAGTTTTCGTTAAAACACTTGATTTCTCCTTATTCACAAAAACAAGTCATGTACCACCTTTAATTAAATTGATATTATAGTAAATCATTAACTTTAAGAAGAATAAAAAGTACGTTACAATCTTTCGGACTTTAAATGACTTTGGTAATAACATTGATAGTGATGGTGAAAGCTACGGTACTTATACGAATAGCAATGATAAGGATAATAAATAAATTGTAAAATCTTAATTGTAATACCAAATCACTATTATGGTACATTGATCCATATCAGATTCTCGATAAGTTGATTACATCACTTTCTATAAACTTTCTCTCGTCTCAAATGATAAATGTACCATTTGTGCAATTACATATTGCACTACTGAAATCATTAAAATTTCTAAAATTGTTTATGGATATTTTTCACAATAACAGTTAAAATCATTTTTTGAAAGACTTGAAATTGTCAACTTAGGAAAATGAAACGGAAATGCTTTTTTATTATTCGAAATGTTTTTATTCCAGTGTAATCATATAAATGATTAAAGGTAACTTATGGCTCCTACACGTTTCTTTTATTCAAACCTCAAAAAAAAAAAGAAGATTGAGACGGGAAGTGTTTGCCACTGAACAAATAACTTCAAATAATTTTAAAGAAGAAAAAACAAATTGTCTAATCTATGCTTGCGACTGCATGTTAATTGCAAGGAAATGAAAAAAAATTCTCCTAATCTATAGAAATGTAAAAAGAAATGCTGTACTGTCAAATTAAGCGTAATTAGTGCCTCGTTAAGTCTAATTAATACTTTGCTTGGCGTAATTAATATTTCATTACACAGATCCAGGAAGTATTGTTCAGTCTTTGTTTTCAATACTTTTTGATTGGTGATTTTGACTACCCTCTTCTTACGTTTCGTTTTTATCACTAATCTATCACAATTAATGATGAATTTAATATTATATGCAAAGGATTTCCACCACTTTTCAGTCAAATTTAAGCCTAAAGCTCGTCCACTCCCAATTTTTCATTTACCTTTAACATGTCAATTACTACCATTGAATATAGTCTATGTGTATGAAATTTTAAAAAGTAATAATTAATATTAGCATAGGTCACGATTGGTTAGCAAATCCTGGAGCTGTAATACATGGCATTACACAACCACTACAACCTGAAATATACAATGTTGAAACGCGAATCGAAGGATCGAGTAGGCGCTGTCAGCATGCGCAAATGTTCGGCGTGCGGTCCTTTTCGAATGACACTCGAATGAGGCAAAAATGCAAAACAAAAAAAAAACAAACAAAGAGCGAAAATATAGCCACGGATCAGATGGATCAGAAAGAGAAATTGGCCAAAGCTTGTTACGGTGATGGAAAAGGTTAGTTTACATTATTTGAAATCTTTAAAGTGTTGAGTGGCAAGCAAATGAATGATTAAAGAACAAATAAATACTTGTGTATCATATCATAATTCTTCTCATAGTATCATATTCTTTTCACTTTTTTTGCTGATAAAAATTTCTGTAAATTATTCCGAATATATTTGATCGTCCCAATCAAATTTTCTCAAGCATATTTCAGGCTCTAACGATAGTGATGATCAGGAAAGCAGTATTCTGGTCATATATACCGGAAAGGACAATAATTTAATTGAAAATAAATTACAAGTATAATCGTTTTTGGATGTTTCTTGAATTTTTCACACTTCCCTCAGTTAATGATAGAATTTTTGTGCAAATTGTCCACAATTCAACTCAATAAATTGGTTATTAAAAACAAATGTCTGATAAATAAAAATTCGATAATTGAAGGATACAGGAAAGTATCAACATTTACAGCAGTGCTTTTATGTGATAGACAATTGCGCTCTTTCTACCACGGCACCACCATTCAAACGACGTATCGGTATTAGTTTACTTGAATGTGCACAGTTCTGTTCGAGGTATGCGAAAAATTCTGCAAAATTTCACCCATTTTGTGAAATATTTCAGATAATTTATGCTTCAAAAAGAAACTACAATGAAGATTACTTGAAATGCTAAATACAATGCTCAAATTGAATATTATCGATTGATTGATTTCTTTTTTTTCTTAATTTAAATTAGAGTTTTCTGTAAGATTTATTTTTTATTCTTTATTGCTGCGTTAATTCAGTTCAGTTCCAATTTAGTTTACCTGGATGTCTTTCGGCATCTTATTCAACACCTCTCTCAATTTGTGATGTTTATCATTTCAAATTTGGCTTGCGAGGAAAAAAAGTGATGAAATCGCTGTGGCATTATTATCTGGAACCACAACCCAATAATGCTCCTGGATGTTTTTTAGGTTCTTTGTGATTTACTTCATATTTTAGGCCCATTGTGTACTGTATGTCTAGACTCGACTCTCTTGAATAATTTCTTACGATAATATAATGAATAAGTTGTCATATGCTTTGCAGTAATTTGAATTTTCAAACAGCCATTTTAGATTACAATTCAATTCGTTTTCCTATTTTTCAGAGAGTCCTTCAAAGCAAATAAGAGCAAACAAAATGATCCGCAAGAGAAAGCAACCGATAACAACGAGATTTCTGTATGATACTAAAGAACTGAATTATATTCGGTCTACTTGTTTAAACCTTAAATACCTCCCAATCTCTTATCCAGACATTTACCATACTGTCCACTTGAAATGATATGTACAGTGAACATGAGTCATTTTTCAGCAAGCGACAAAGAGGTACGACTGGAGTGAACCTGAACATGTCCTCTCTTCTTCATGACATTTCATTAAATTATAGTAAAAAGGAAAGGCAATATGGTATACTTCCTCTGAATTCTCATTGCTAATCTTTTAATGATCGCATGCAAAGGTTAAAGATCAGCCGGAAATCGAAAGTGGTTTTTAGATGAAGGTTGTCCAGATGGTGAAAATGTGGTAGTGACGAAAGCGCCAGGGTGGAGAATAGCGAAATTTAACGGTCGTAAGCGGAAATATTTCACAACTGAAACAGACTGCCTGGAATCTTGTTACAAAAACAGAGTAAAATCGCTATGTTTTCTTCAATATTTTACAAATATTATCCTTTTTCTTTATCTTAAATATAATCGCACTTTCGCCGAAGCATTTAACTTTAACCATTTCTTAAAAATTCTAAATGTATCACAAATATATCACAAAATTTTGAATTTTCTTAATTGGCACTATTATACAATTCTCATTCATCTTTCCCAATCATATAATAAAATTAACTTTTGCTTTTCTTTTGCAAACCATAATTCGAAATTTTAGTACAAAAAGAGTACAGCTTATCATTGCTCTTCGGCAATGTTTGAAAAGGATTCAAATCGATGTAATTTATATTCAACAATTCATCCTGCTAATAATACTTTGATACGTGATACTTCGACCATTTACTACGAGAAACATTGCTTTTCAGGCATGTCTTCTAAAAAAGTTTTTTTTGTTTTTTATTTGTTTCTGTAAAAACTTGTCTTTCTTCCTTCTCTTCCAATTACCTTTTAGAGATGTTTCGCTCCAATGGAAATACATCGATTTTCTTCGTTTTCTTGCAGAACAAATTGCTGAATTGTGTGATGGGACGCTAATTGAACGTCAGCCACAACACATACTTGTCACTTTTCCTGATGCAATTTTGACAACATCAACACTGGTGAAATGCTTGTTGAAATGTTTCTGGTCGCTTCAAGATGGCCGAACATTTCAGTGCCATTCGTTAATGTACTTTTATGAGGTGCTTTTATTACTTCCTTTGGGTATTCTTTAGATATGAAATACCGGGAAAATCACTTCGCTGATTTGTTTCATTCGATTTCTTTCAATTTTTTCAATAAATTAATATTAGTTCCATAGCTAGTTTTCATTCGATGAAATGTTTCTGCAGAAGTACTAGTCAATTTTCAGCAAGAAGTTGATAATTGTATACTAAATAGCCGATCAAAAAGAAATCATCCAAATAGTTTAAAAGAAGAAACAGTCTCAGTTGTTGATTATTTCGGTTTGGATGAATGTTTAAATATTTCATTAATGGTGAGTCATCCTTTGAAGAAAGTTATTTTAGAGCCTTCATAAGGAATATATTACTACTTAACGGCAACTTGTCGCTGATTTTCAAGCCTACAAGGTTTGTCACCTTTTTGAAAGTATAACAGTTACTGATTTTCAAGATTTCCAGGATCAAGTATCCAAAACCAATCTCATTGGAACATATCGATATAAAAAGCACCAGGATATTTCAATAACGCGAAGGACGCGTGTTTAATGTTGCAGTTTGAGTTTTGAATGATGATAAATTTAGATGCTAAAGTTCTGCAAAGTGATACTCGAAATTCGATTTAGAATCTCCATTAATAGTAAACATCAGCCAGAGGTTTATTGCCTTGCCTTCCATTCTTACTTTATTCCTAACTCATCTGGCTTTTTCATTAAGTGAATAATAAATTATATATATAAAGAAAAAAAGAAAATGAAATTCAAACAGAAATAACATACCTCCATTTATTTTTCCTTTTCTGTTAGCTGATCCATGATTACATCCTGATTTTGATCATATCCCTTTGTCATCCCTCAACTTCATATTTCAGTGAATTTCGATCACAATAAACTAGATATTATGACAAATGGTGTTCAGATGCAGGGAAGCGATCATATGTAATAATTTGTTCTTGCTAGTTAATGGATTTGTAAATTTTCTCATAAGTTATTCATGTTGTATGACATTTTCCGCGGTTTAACTGCATACTTGCGTATTTGGAGCAAAATCTTTCTGGAGTACTATATTTTCAATAAATTTCCGAGGCCCAACGACCTACCCACTCTTCTTTTATCAAAAAATGATTGAAGTGTTGACAAATGAAAGATGATTCCGGATTAGCAACCAAAAAACTCATTCTGTTATACCCAAGATTATTTGGATTCAACCATTCCGAGAGTCCAGACATACCCTGGAACGATCTCTGTTCGTTATAGCAAGATGAAGAATAGGAGATTCAGTTAGTTTAATATTTCAATTCATCTGCGCGTCTGGACAAGTGGATTTCTCGAGAGCTGTTAGATAACGTTTCAAGTAGTTTCCTGGTGCTTTACACTTCGCACCTCAAAATTTTTTCTACAAACCAAAGAAAGGATGACGTTTTCGCAGTATCAAATTGTATTCGATATTTCAAGCAGTAAAATATTTTAGGGAATATTCCACTGAACCGATTTATGTCATAGATATTTCCTGTGCAGTTAATAACATAACTGCTGTGAGTACTAGACCATTTTTAAATGAACTCAAAAGAAAAATTAGGACAGTATGGGACATTTGAAGTTAGACTTCTAAATTAATTTCTACGTCCTTTCTTCTCGAGGAAATCTTCCACTCTGCCTCTACACTACCCGTACCAAGCTAAGTCGTCGAACCACCTATGCCTCGAACAAAACTTCTTTATTTATTTAGTGAGATACTAGGATAATTGTTAGGAAATAGAAGACTATTTCTTATATATTTATATATTTCGAAAAAAACTGAAGCTAAGAATATGACAGAACAATAATTCTGTGAAATTTATTTAGAAAGCAGCATAAATCTCGTTCCAGAACACCAAGAAAGAATTGTATCAATAAATCAAAACAAAAAAAAGACAACATCGGGTAAAACAATGACCGTCAGGAAATTAAACGATCGATGTTAGGAATCAGAGAAATAAGTGGAAATCATTTTATGTCAAAAGTGCAAAGAAGAAAGCAAAATACCTTACCAGTAGAATGATGCCCACGGAATATCTGCTTTCTTTTCAACTCGATCACTGAGAATCATCCTTTTTTAAATTTAGAAGGAATTGTACTTTTTCCTCAAAATAATCGTTGCAATTTTAGATGATTTAGAAAATTACTCAATTAAAAATTCCTTTAGAAATACCTGAAAAAGAGAAAAACAAGACATACACTTTCTAAAAAATAATAAATGGAAGAAAATACAGAAAGTTTTAGGAAACGATTTCTGGAAAGCAAGACCTACTTGAAACTCCCATCTTAGCAATGCATGTTTATGGTTTCAAAATTTTCAACAGTAAACTAAAAACAACCCATAATGAGAAGCACATTGTCAAGATAATCAAGAACAAATACAAAAGTATATATGAGGACAGAAATCACTAACCACCAAACTAATAACAAAAGATAACTCTCACCAAGCATACAAATATACATGTTCACAATGATCATACAATAATAATCAATAAGGCCAAAAATGAAGTCAGAATGCAAAATCATGAAATCTCTTTTTCTCAAACACTGGAAGGCTGAGGAACTACTTCCACCCTAGAGTTAAGGTAAAGTTACAACAGATGTCGCAGAACTCATGAGTTAACGGTGTCCACAGGCAAAAAGAAAATACAAAGTGAAACCAAAATAAAAATACAAGCGTCCGAAGACATGCAAAGTACATTCGGCTGTTCGCATTAAACATGATTTATTCATTCCTTCTCCCCTCTCCCTCCCTCCCCCCCTCCGGCCTCCGGCTCTTGAAATTCCAATTAATACTTGTATTTACCACTGGTGACTTTTTTGATTTTGTACTTGAAACGGTAGAAGGATGGAAAACTTGCTTAGATCAGCATCAAAAGATCAACATGATGCTTAGATCAGCATCTTCCAACATTTTCAGATACTACAAAATCATTCCTAATATGGTGCTAATCAGAAATAGAACCCGTTGAATCAAATATTATATTAAAGTCAGTTCACAGCCTTCAACAAATTTGGAAAATAATTTCAAAATTCAGCAATTCTAGACTACCATCAAGAAGTGCTCTAAGACAATATAACTACGGACAATTTGTCTCGTTAATCAATTTCCGTAGGAAATAGAATTCACTGATGGAAGAACCAGTACTTACGGAAAGTTTATCCTTAAGGTAAAAGCAATTGCGACTTCTCATATTTAATGACTTCTATCCCCAAAAATCCCTCAAAACTGAATAAATTACGCTTGAAAAACTGAAAAAAATATTATGCTCTCCAACTTCTCAACAAAAAAATAGGTGGTAATGAAACGGTCTAAAGTGGATGATAACTAAAAAAAATTGGTCCACTATAATTTATTCGAGATTCCAAAACCTTCTCAACTTATACAGAAAAAGAAAAAAAGAACAACATTTCTAGGTAATTCATAGTAAAAAGAATTGAGAAGAGGAGGATTAACTTGGTTGTACAATGAATTACAGAAATCAAATGTCTTCCAACAAACAAATATAAGTACGTACTTACGAGAAATGAATAAAGATATATTTCACAACATTTTTAAAGCAAAATTAGCTGATAAATAGTATGGAAGGAAAAGAAAAACCGCTTGTTTAGAACTGAACTGAAATCGAAATTAAGAAGACCTGATTTATTCATACAAATGAACGTTTTATAAAATTGTGTGTTTTGCTTTCAAGCAGTTTTCTGATACCTTATTTACCATTATGAGTAATCCTGAGAAGTATAGCTCTGTCCACAGCAATGAAGAGCATAGTGAAGCGAGAAACAGCACTAAATATTGACATGGCGTGATTGCTAACTGCTGGGATATTCTAACTGTAGTCAAAAACATTAAATTTTAAACTAAATTCGAAATTCCACTCAAGATTTAAATCCAAATATCAATTCAACGTATTTCCAACCCCAATTTTAGGATAAATTTAACCACTGAAACCATGCTAGTGAACGGTATTGAATCTATTCCTATCGAAACAGCAGTAGTTACAAAACAACACATATATGTAATAAATGATTAATGATGATAAAATGGAGTAACTCAAATTTTTCATGAGACACTTTCCAAATTCTTGCAAAAATGACGATGTAATAGAATGAGGAAAAGAGAATGAAAACATTGGATGGCAGCAGGAAATTGCAGCGGAATGGTACTAGATGTGAAAAAAAAAAGAAAAACCCCAATAAGTAATGTCAACTGCTGCACTAAAAAGGAAGAAATTTGAAAGCACATAAACATAAACAAATATTTGCCATAAAACATTAACAGCATTCGACAGGTAGCAAAAAATTCCAGAAAATGCATAGCCATACTGACTAATCTGGACTAAAATCATCTCAAAATTCAAACAGCTAACCCACCAGTAAGGATTCTACTTTGCAATCTTTCTAAGTTATCCCAAAAATATCAAACAGTTATCATTTTGCACACATCACATTCATATTCGGAATTTCAATGAAACAAACTTTTAAAACACAGTATACTTCCTCCCTTGAAACATGCCACGAAAATAGTGGGTTATTTCAAAAGCCATGGCAAAAGAAAGATGGATTTAGAAAAATTTACTCCTTTTTTCAAATTATTTCAAGATGCATGAAGTGGATAATTTCCATTTGAACAGTGAGTAAGTTGAATTGGTTATATTTACAAGGAATCTTTTTCATGATAAGGAAATTTTCAAAAGCATAATCTTATAGTTAATTCAAAAATACCAACCAAAACTGGAATGTCCTAAACTTATTTGTAAATAAAACCTGACTCATCAAATATCTAGTTGGTTTTATAAAGTCACCCGTCAACCCAACCCTTAATTTTAAAGCGAAGTCGCCAAATCTTAAGAATTTTAAACGGGCACTAGAAGAGACGACAAATATTACCAAATCAATCATGAAGTAGTATGCGATACAGGTGAAGTTGTTGTTGTAACGGTACTAGTCTCCTTCCCTCTATAAGCTTCATTTTCGATAAATGCTCTGAGCCGATCAAGATACGCTGCGTGTAGTTCCACATCGTTATGTCCTGCGCCAGGCACCCAAAGTGGTTCAACCGATGAAGGACAATGTTCGTAAATGGACAAACCATGCGAAAAATCAATCACCTGCAAAAAAATATGCCCATATAAATAAGGTTATCATTTAGAATATTGCTCAGAGAATTTGATTTCGGTGATGACCATCCGATACATGAATTAGTAACTAATGACGATGCTTAGTACAGTCATAATTCATGATGAATATAAAATAGGAATCAGAAATATAAATTCGGGTGGGTATAATCGAGAAAAATAAACTGTATTAGTAACTAACTTCGTCGTCTGTACCATGGATAACCAGTGTTGGGCAACGTACACGTGCTACTTTATCGATAGATGGAAACGCATCACAACACCACGTTCGCTGTGTTCCAGGAAACGCCACACGCATTCCGGACATCAGCGGAGAATGCAGGATAAGTGCTGCTACGGAACTTTCGGTACTAGCCAAATCCACACTTGGAACAGTTCCTGAAGTGAATAAATTAGAGCGAGATTGTCAAAAATGTGCAACGGCCAAGGAATAGCACATCGATCCCATTTCAAGATAGGAGGATGGCATGTTCAACCAGTTCTCGGCACTGCTTGAAGAAAGATTTAATAATATATAAAATAAACAAAACGAAGAAATTAAATGTAATCAAGCATTTAGTAATTAAAATCGCACCTACCTATGGACTGACCGTAAAGAATAATTTGATTTAAAGGCATTTGATATCTTGAACGCAGTGCTGCTAATGCTGCTGCAATATCAGCGTAGAGATTCTTCTCTGATGGCTTACCACTAGAACATCCGTATCCTACAAATACAGCATACTACAGTAGAATCCCTAAGACAGCCACGAACATGCAAAGTTGGAAGTAGTATAAGCGAGATGACCTGAGTGACATGATAAAACTTTTAATAGTTAACCTTACAAGAACTATTTAAGTTAAATCTTTACGAAAAAAGCGAAGTTCTGCAATAAAGATTAATATAAAGATTCATAAATAAATGTGCTGGATGTATTAATTTGTAAATACCGAGATAGATCGTGACTAAGATTTAAAAGTCATCCAAATTCTTTTCTGTATGAGCAAGGAGTTATCACTGTATAGAACTGTATATGTGCTCATTTTGTACGCTACGAGCGCTAACAAAGAGCGTTTTACTAATGTGTGTTAACAAAGACGCTAATCCTTGTAATCATAAAACCAATCCTTGAAGGATATATATAAACCCTGCACTCAGCAGATAACATTCGTCCTTTCTTTTCTTCTCCAAATTGTTTTGGAACGTACCTTGTGGCGACATTTTAAAGCTTAGCTTTAGACGTTAATTTTTGTTCCGTAATTCTTAATTATTGTACAGCGCTAATTTCCATTTAATGGTTTGATTATACAATTTGAGGTGGAAATAAAGAAAATCTTGCAACTCTGGTGTCTCGTTGCGCAAAACACTTCCACGAAAATATAGATTTTTTCATTTTAAAATCAGTTCGCAGCCCATGTTCGCAGCAGCCACACCAATTACACCCCTCAAAACCGCACAGTTCTAGAAACAAAAAAAGATATCACCGCCGAATACGACCTGTAATATTACTTCCCTGTCCGAATATTTTTTCAAATTTAAACTTTACTAAGCACTTTTTTGTAAGTTCTGTAACTCCAGTAGATCAATGATATCGAGCACCGTTCGATAAGAAAAATTCTGGGATGTGAACAACTCAATATTCCATTTTCGGCGTCCCAATGTTTTACCATTTTTTTTTCTATTATCAATTTTCTTGAATAAAACATTTATAAAATTAACATGTACCCGAATAATCGTAGCTAAAAACATTGCATCCGAGACGAAAACCAAGCCCATAATAAAAGCTACACATCTGCCCGAGGTCAACCGCATTGCCATGTGAAAATAGTAAAGTGAAACGAGCATCACCACATGGTTTGACATACATACAAACAATGTCATTCCTGAAATTATTTTATTGTACCTTCAAAAGTTGGTTAATTACACAGTCCACAAAGTAATTACTTGAAAAACATTACATTACGCCTAAACAGAAATCTGGCTGATAGAAATCTGGCTGTACCTTCCAATCGTAACTTTCTTTGCCACAAAATAATTTTCATTATTTTAAAGTGACGACTGAAATTTCAAACAAAGCGCATTTAAACTTACCTTCTTCGTGTGCGAGTGTGGAAGACATCGATGTTACGGAGTTCATCGTAGCCATGCGGCCAATCTGCCCGTCCTTCCACTAATTCTAGTGAAGTGCTGAAGTAACAGTACTACAGAGAAAATCTCATCAATACTACGATGATTTTAAGCAAGCTTCCAGAAGTAAAACCGTAATTATAAGAGAGCACACAGGCTGCGCTACCATGAAACTTGGATGTCATGCCGAGATCACGTGTTGCACACAATCGTCAATTGAAGAATTATTTTACCAACAACAGTAATTCATATATTTTTAAAGGGACAGTTCAAAAGAAAATGAAAGCCACAAAAATAAAACTCACATTTGGGAATCGTGCTTCACAATACGATAGCTTGCTTCGGGTGGCATAAAGGCTAGTTTGGAAACAATTGAGGAAGGCAATGGAGGACAACAAAAAAGGCAACATAAATCTTTCACGGATACTCGACCACCACCACCACCACCACCACCACTCTGAGAAGCTAACTGTGTCGTCATTGTAGTGATCTCAACAGTTGATTGCTTGTCAGAGCAATAACAACAAGAGATAGTACGGTCTAGCAAACCACCGTCATTCGAAATGAGAGACCTACAAAGAAAAACGTACAACTTTAAAATATAGGTCAGTTGACTCTATCATGAGAACTGAGCTTCTGAATGTTAAGAGACTGAAAAAGAAATTCATTTAATCCATTACCGTAATGTTCGGTAGAAAGCTATTAAAGGAGAAAGTGGGAAAAAAGGGAAGTACGATTTAAAAAATTTTGGCAACGATGAACTTTTAGCGTTAAGCAGCAAAATAAAGATGTGCGAAATAAAGATCTACCCTAAGTTAAGTTTAAAGCTAACCATAGCCGAGAAAATTCTTGAAATAAATTTCCAGTCGAGGATTAAATTTCTTGAGTATCGACCAGTCTGACAACCAATATACTGAAATCTGCTGGCCCACCGATCGTAAAAAGATCACAATCTGGAAGATGTCCTTTTTTGAATTATGGAAATGTGGGATATACAGAACGACGAAATAATGCGAAGGATACCAGAATGTAGTGGACAGATAAAAAGATACCAGCGATGTCTGCAGTTGAGTGCACAAACATATGGAGAGCTCTGACTGCCCTTCCTCATGTCCCGAAAAATCAAAAACCCCGAGATTGCCCTAACGTTACGCCCACTAATGCCCTCTGACAAGTCGCAAAGTTCGCCTCCCCTCATCGGTTGCAATATTCGTCATTGCAAAATTCAGCATGGCGACGTAATATGACAACGTGAATTACAGCACATCTCCATCTTTCAATCTTGTAATTTGGTATTGTGTTACACAAGAATATGTAATGTTTGCGCCAGTTACTTTTACTTCACCACTACTCCAATTTCTTTGTCTGACATAAGGGATTTTGGAACCTTAAATCATACTTTGAAAGGTCACTTGAATAGCTCATCTTAAGGATAAAGTGCTACTTATCTCGATGGAGCGGTTAAAGATTTCATTCCGAGAACTAAGCAAATCGTTAATATCCCTCATATTCTTCCCAATCACCCTCAGTTATTTACTTCCGGTTCCGGAAGACAATATATTATTTAATGGTTGAATCAGGTCATTTATGTTTGCGAATCAGTCAAGCAACAGAATATGGATGAAGAAGAAGACTTAGGAAATTTCGGCTGTCGATAATTGGATAATCTCAGAGAACAAAAAGGAAATTGTCTTTTTTCTCCCTACCTTCACTTCGTTAATTGTTTCATTATCACAATTCCTTTTGCAATATTCCGAAAGTGCTGCCATCTTCGTTAACTTGCTGTCAATACTAAAACAATTAACTTCCAAGTCTTTTCTTCCATTCACCTCTCTAAATTTCGGAAGACATTACTTTTTCTACTTTTTCTAAAAATAATCGGCTGGAGCTGTTCGGCATCTAAATATGTAAAAATCGCTCGACAAATTCATTTCATAAATTCATTTTTTATATCCTACTTTGGATTGCCAGCAGAACAGATTCCTATTTAAATTCAGCGCACTGGATCACAGTACACTAATTGTACAGTAGGATTGATTAACTATTCATGAACTTGAAAAGAATTGTATGACCGAGCATAATTTTGACTTGAAAATGCGAAAAGAATGATATTTTTGTAAAAAGTTTTTGAACATATCAGAGATTCAATAAATAAACGAATGTTAAGAGAAGAGACACAAAAGAACAAAATTTAATAATTCATTGGTCAAGTTTAAATGTGCCGTAGGGTAAGTAATATATTTCTGTCAACAGCAGGTGACGATTGTGGATTAAATATTTTCGGGGTTTTGCTATGATGTCATAAGAAGAGAAAAAAAAATGCATACATAAGTGATGTGCTGTGAAGCATGAGACATAGTTATTTACAAATTTTTCTTTTTTTTCAATATCATTAAAATTTGTCGCTTAACTCCTCAACTTTTCCCATTGTTACTCTTCTCAACATATGACAACTGAAACTTTAATCCTTTCTTCTGGACACCTTAATCATAACGAAGCATAACGAAGAAAAAAAACATCCTAAGAATAATGAAGTTGGAACCTTTCAAAAACTAAAAAATCTCCTAATCAAATGACACATGGAGGTCATCGATCCATTTCTAGCCATTCAGGCGTTTTGCCCTATTGGGATTCCCAGTAATTTTCGCATTTTGCAATAGAATGAATGACGCAAAGCTCGAAATGACAACGAAGGTATTGTTTAGATAGTTGGTCAAGAAGTTAGCCGCAGTACTCAACATTGTAAGAGGTCAAAGTAATAGCTGTAGCATTACATGCACTAGTAGCTTTTGCAGGGTCAAACAAACCAAGACTGGTTATAAGTTAAGACCTTGACGGCGTTTTTTTTACTATCCCTATGTTCGGTTGGACAGTGAAGTCACTCAAGAGCACTTAATTCAGGTTAGGAAGGTAGAGCTTACTTGTTGGATAGTACAACACTGAAATTAATTACTGTGATTAATAAAACATCAGTTAAATGATGCAAACACATCATTTCATTCATTTATAGACGGAAGGCGTAACAGTTGCTGTGACAGAGTATTTGCGTAATGAATAATAAAATCAAGATGATTTCGGATGAGTGGCAATTGTGGGTCAATGTTGTGCGTCATTGGACGCCAAAACAGCAATATGAATCCAAACGTTCCAAAGTTTCATTTAAATTTTAACCAAATAAATTTTTCGATTCAACCACAAATTTTTTCCGCAATTCGTTAGGTAGCAAAGAGAGGACAGAACTGAACTGACCGTTACGCATACCCTGAAAAAGTTGAACTTCAATTTGAGCTCATAATATTAATTGAATCATTTACAATTTTACATAATGGAAACTTTTACTGGTATAAAATGGGATGGTGCATTAATAGGCCTTATTGGTTCAGGCTTTTTATTTTGTTCTTGATCAACATTAGCTGATAACAGTGCTATTTTGGATTGAAATCCTTTTGAATTCATTAGATTCTTCAACAATTCCAAACTCTGAAAGAAGACAGTAAAATTGGAAAAATAGTGAAATTGTGAGTAGAAAGGTGAGATAACTAATAATCAATCACAGATTAGCCGGTGAAAAAAAATCAGTTTACAATCTAGAAGAATTTGCAGAATTTGACTGTACGTGTATCGGCCTCCGGCATGAGGATTTGTTGTTATCAGGAAAACTTGTTGCATTCAGGAACTACATAGCCCTCACTGATTAATGATCTCATCAGTGATATTAACAATAGTTAAACCTGTTCAGCGTTAATATGAGTGAATCCGAAACGTTGTGCAAGTTGCCGGAGCTGCATTTCCAGAATGGGTTGTCTACCAGTTTCCGATAACAGTGCGTTTATTTCGTTCATAATGCTATGTTTCGTTATAGCACTAGGCCTTGTATATTGATTTATAATGGGCCCTAAATTGCATATTTCAGTTTCAGGAAATTCACTATTATTTATTTCATAAAAATTTCAGAAACAAATGCTTATTTGTCTATCCAAGTCGGATGCCAACTAAAGTAACAAATTTTTGCTCAAGACCAGCATGATGCCGAAATGGTAATAATGGAAGAGTAGTGTTCAGCTTATATTGTTGCTGTTGCTTTGTAGCATCCTCTATGATTCCAGATGGAAACTCAGATTGATTCTTTAAATGTTCGTCAATTTTACCATTTGACAGTAGTGACTTCTGGATTTCTTTGACTTTCGGATTAAAAGCTAAAGTGTAATTCGAGTTTATCATCGGTGCAGTAAAAGATCCTCCACTGTAGAAATTCTGTCTTTCAATGATGTTACTGGTAAATGAACGAGCGAATTCGTTATCTCTCTCCTTCAGAATCATTGTCGTGGGTTTCATCTACAAAAAGTTCACTTTGCAATGTTTGAATTGGCTTTTGCTTCATTTGCTAATTTACCCAAATTTATTTTATTGTTTAATTTTTCGTGAAATCTTTGAATTGAAACTTAAAATTATGCTCCTTATTAAAGGTTAAAAATAATGTTTATAGCAACCTGATTTATGTGCAATTGTTGAAATGCTGTCAGTCTTTCTGTACTGTTAAAATGAGACTTGACGGAGTTTAGAGTACTCACATCTACAAAAACTCTGAATGTAAACATGGAAATTTATTATTTTTATTTTTGAAAAATAAAAGCGCTTTTATATAGGGAAGAAACTAAAATCAATATTGCTATCCTTCATTATTATCTAATTTCATTCATCTGAGGAAATGAAAGTGACTTACCACAGCTAATTTCATCCCCACTATTATTCACAAGTTTAGTATTAGAAATAGTTATGAAATTATTGGGTGGGACTGCTCCTTTCAACAATAACTGAATCGGTTGCTTGGTTGTTTTTATTGGAATTCGTAAACGATACCATCCATTTCCATTATACGATCCTTTTCGACTCCAAGTCATCAACTTGTTTCCCATGCTTTCCAAAATAGTCAACAAAGCATTGTCACTAAAATGATTTCATTACCGTTACCTGTTAAAAAAGGAAAAAAAAAATCAACATTGTTGTCTTTTATCATTGACATTACCAACGATTATTAGCACTTAATCATCATCATCATTGTGAGTAGCATTTTACCTCATCCAAATATCCATTTCAAAGAATGCTTCAGGAGGAACTATGAAGAAACCACTTTTCGCCAAGCCTTTACCTTCACTATCCATGGCTATATTGCCTTCCAACCGATGCCATGGAGCTTCCAGTGTCCTGATATGAAAAGTTTTAGGCATTTTCAAGGATTCAAAATTAGTCTAGTTTCAAGAAGCAGTCGAAAGAAATATAGTCTAAACTATAAAAACTTGATCTAAGGGCTCTGAAAATCTTAAGAGAGAAGAATATGCTTAAATACAATTGATCGGTTGATTTTTAAGTTTCCCATTTCATTCTTTTATTTAACATTAGCAAAATACCATGCACAGGATGAATCGATGAATGTGCATTGAACAGGGAGGCATGAAGTTGAAATTGGTTGTTTGGTGGGTAAAACCTTTTCCGATATCAAATTTCTCGAAATCTGAACAAAATATTATTAAATTGGAGAGATGACAGCAAGATTGATTGTCTTTTGCTCACAATGAACGGAAATAGTGAATGACTAAGATGTTCGATTCTTAATTTCTCGTTTATTTATCAATTGAAAATATAACTTTGAGTATTTTATTTAACAAGTATTATTCTGAGAAATCAAAGATGGCAAATGTCTTTTACTTGTAAACTTATATATTTTATAAGTAAGAAAGGAAAGAATCTAGGACTCAAATTATTTCTATTACGACCATTAATGAGCATGAATTTGGTCCGATATTTTCATTCATTATCTTAGCTTAAATTGTTCTGATTAAATTCAGGAAGCAGACGTAATCTGAATTTTTTAAAATAATTCTCCTATATTCCCGCATAGACATCCCGCAATAATATTTTAATTGAATCTTCTGGTATGCTAAAGTATGATTGAGTTTATCAGTAAATTTCTGATTCTATGAGATATTAAAAGCTTTAGACATCATGTAGTTAGACAGTTAAGTATTCTGTTGTTATTTATGAAAAGATAGGAATGCTATTGATAAGAACATTTATATGAAGCAAACCGATGATGAAAATGCTTTTGGAGGATAGTTGCTGTATTCGATCTCATCTACAGCCACAATATCTGACGGTGTATGGATATTTCGTGCTCGGAACACAATCTGAAAGGCTTGACTAATTTGAATCATTCTACATCAATTCACTCTGTTTCCCAATTCCTTTTATATCCTATCATTATTTCAATTTTAAACCTATCAATTTAGATTTTAATCAACCACAAATTTTCATGAATTCAACCTTAAATGGCGTTAATAAATTGTTGGATAGAGTGATTTTTTGTTTTATCCACCGTAATTCGTTGCCGACTATATCAGGAGCTGTGTATGTACAAATAAAAGCATTCTGCTGCGCAATACATACCTTAAAGGTATTTCAAATATCGACTAAAGTGTTTAAATTTATAATTTTTATCAATCAGTAATTAAGTAACATCGCAATATTGTTGGAAAAAAAACAATAAATTCGAAGAAATCTTGGATAATTTGCGAAAGATTTTGAACTGAATAATTGAGCAATTTAAAATAAATGAAATAAAATGATAACTTACATCAAGTTTGGATATATTATTACTTCTCCAATAACTAAATGATAACGTTGCCCGACGTTCTTCATACTTTTCCTCTTCCATTTCAGCACTAATCAAATGTCCCTCAGCCAGTACTGCTGTCCCACCTTTTGCATAAGCATAAAGACCATCCAAAATAAAATGACGATCGGTATTCGTATTTTACAAAATTGATATGAAATTTAAAGGATGAAAATTGAAATAAGTGGAAGTGTAAATAATTAGAGACGTTTCTAACTTGTATTTGAGGAATGTGGGATGAACTGAAATGAATTGATTGGTATATTAACACCGATTAGCCATAGATCAGAATCGGATCGCCATCTGCATAAGGTGCCGTCATCAAAGTTACACGACAAATTTGTGTTTTGAATTTTAGCTTCAATGATTGACGCCGTCACTTGAAAGAAACATGCGAATTATTGAAGAAAAATTTTAAACTTTAAAATTATCCTTCAATTTTTTCTAAAAAGGAACAATTGTCCTATAGAAAATAAATATTTCAAGCTTTAAAACAAGAATGATTTTTCAAATTTTATCCTTCACACGATCTCGAAATTTTTTCTATAAGAGCTAAGTTTATAGTTTTAAATTAAACTCAAGTTTTCAATTTAAACAAATTTTTGGGATTGATGACAATTTTAAACATATTTATCGATTTGAGAGTATACAAATGAGATTGTACTTACCATGAAAAATTGTTATGGAAGTAATAGAGAAAATTGAAGGGAATCTCATGGGTAGTAAAACGATGAATAAACAGTAATTGTTAGCTGGGGACAACAGATTGTCCTATCATTTCAATGGGAATGTACCACTACCATATTCAAATCCCACCATTACATCAATAAATAATAAAATAGGTCGCTTCAATAAATCTTCTGGAAGCACACAAAACGCTTACCATTGGGAAAGTGCTAATGGTCAGTTGATGGAATGAAGTATATATTGGTTGAAAAAAGTTTCATTGAATGCTTTTTGGTCCTCAAATATTATAATACAATTTTAAAATATTCTTATAGCACAATCAATAACTGTCTTCCATCTATTTATTTCAATAATTGTTATTAACAAAATAGGTCATTTTAATGACCTAACTAATCTTCAAATTCATTTCTGGACTAACTATAACCGTGAGCATTTTGCTTTCCGGAATGATCGGATTTATTGAAAAAAAGAAATTCTTTCGTAGATGAGTATTCTGCATTCCGCATTGGTACAGTTTATTAAAAAATAAGTTCTGCCATACATCAATCTATTTCTTAGTCACAAAATTTTTCATTTCACAGATTTTTTGTTTTGTTTGCTCTAATTGATTGTAATATTATTTCATTTAAAATATCAAACTCCTCTAAGTTTAGGTTTGTGAATTGTTAATCTTAGAATATTTTAATTTTACAACAATAATCACTTTTGAAGACTCAGTACAATTCATTATCTTCTATCGTCCAAGATAAACTTTCATTCTTATTGGCATCATTTAGCGCTTTCTTAAAACTCTTAAAATTTTGCTAAATCAACCTGTTGATTTAGCAAAACGAACAACTACTATTTTATATGAAAAATTTCCACCTCTTTATGTTAATTTTAAATCATATTCTACTCATAGATGAACCATTGATTTTTCAAAATATTTATACGTTTACTTCCCTTTCAAATTTCATTTCTCTTTAAATTAAACTTAAGAATCGTTTTCCAATTACCTTTCTTGTCTTATCAATTACTTCATTATTTTCTTTTTCTACATGCCAATTTTCAATGACAATTTGCTATGCCACAATAATTTTTTGTACCTATGAAATAGTAAGAAAGTAATTGTGGTAAAATAATTTTTATTTGACAAAACTTTTAGCATTATTGCTCCGAAATATGGCTGTTTAATTTCGTGACAGTCAATCGCTTCAGTGTATTTCACTACTCATTCTTGAAAAAAAATTTTTCACTCAAATTTAACTTTAAAATATGCATAAACTTTTCTTTTCGCATTACCTTCCTTTCTATTCTTCTCTTCCAAACTTGGAATTTCTAATAGAAATTTTAAAAAAAGTTCTATTAATGAGGATTTTTATTCATCAGTGCTTCAAATTAAAACGATATGTTCAAATTTTTGACATAATTGTGTTGAAGGACGGGAAACGATCCAGTGCGCACATTTAACAATCAAAGAGAAATTGGTTACAGCACCAATCCTGACCAGTGACCACTAATGCTTGCAATTGTAAATCAATCGGAACCGCATCATTGCACCACGAAAATCCAGTCCATAATTATTATTCCTCACAGCGGATGAAAACTGCTTTGCTAGTCGTTTGTCTGAAACCCATGTTTTCGGAAAATTCAAAAATGGGCGAATTTCAGAATGCATCATGAAACTGTTTATACTTGAATCGAAATATTTCAGGATTTTAAAGAAATTTAAAACATTTGAAAAGTTACCAAAAATTTGTTTTTTGTTGATTTTACAACCACCAGCTTCCTATAACACCCTCAATATGTTTACTGCATTCAATTTTTAATTTAACTCATTAAAAATTCCTGAAGCCGAGCAATTTTAATTTGGGGTGAATAAAGTTTGCAAAAGTTAACTTGTCTTGAAACTGGCCAACTTTTTGCTCATTTCAAACAATATTGTTTCTCGCAGACCACTTCAATTAATTAAAATTGTGCCTTATTTTGTCTCTGTTTCAGCTCTTTTTTATAATTTTTGAGCACGTTTCATAATTAAAAGTTTACAAAAAATAAATCCTTATAAACTAAATTAGAGTAGCACAGTGAAATGCATAGTATGGGACCATAAGATCAAATTCAAACAAGTCATAGCGATAACAATATCCCATACATTTGGAAGCTATCATTTTCTATTTGCTGATACTAAAAATATTTTTTATTTACTTATATTATTGGTACCATTTAAATGGCATGTGTTATGGATTTTTCAACTCTGATATGGATTCAAAACATTACAGTTCCTCCTGGTGTTTTTCATGACTTTACAATTAGGGGAAATTTTTTAAAACAGTGATCAATGAAAGGGTGATAAGAAGTGATCAAGACAATGATGATAACTTCAGAATAGCTTTTACAATTCTTTCATCTCCAAGTTAAGAAGCATAGAAGAGCTTGCTTCATTTATGCTTCCTATCATCATTAAAAATACTGAGCTATTAAATATGCATCCTAATAATGCTGAGTCACCAAGTTTTAGATTGGAACTTTTTTCTTTTCGATTTGCCTAAGGACAATAGTCGGAAATAACATGACGATCTTTAAATTCTTAAACTATCATTCAATGTTGCTATCTGTTTCTGTCATGTAAAAATTGTAATGTGTGTTTAAAAAAAAACAATTGCCACAAAAGCATATCCAGTGAGATTTTTGAGTTAATTGTTAAAAAAAATAAGAAAAGATTCACTTCATTTAATCTAATCTTTTACTCGAATACTTTCTATTTATTAGTTTGTATAATAAAAACAAAATTGACTTCCTTCTTGATGTGGGAATAAATTAGGGATGCAACAAAACTTCAATTTACTCATCAATTTAGTTATTACTACGTACACTTTGTACACTGCGTTTAATACGTTACGTACACATGGGTTGCATAAACTACGTCACCTACATATATTTCACATGCACATCACACGTACGTTTGTCACACACTTGTCTCACACACGTACCATATACTGCTGTTAGTTTTCATAATCCAATTGCTGAATTGAATAGTATGCCCTTTCTTTACTTACGTCACATACATAAGTCTATGTTAAATGCGTGTAGCGTACGTGTATGAGACGTGTGTGTCACGTGGTGTGATGTACCTATATGTAAAGCACGTGTGAGTGCGTGTGCAAAACTTGCATACGACGTACGTGCATATGACTTGGGTTA